TTTTTATTTTTTATATTTAATGTTAACAACCACTTTTTTTCTTTATTTTATTTTATTTTTTTTTTTTTTTTAAGGTTCACAACAAAAGTTAAATATACCTTCAATCTTTTTTTTTTTTAATATATTTAATGTTAACAATTTTTTTTTTTATTTTTTATTTAAGGTTCACAACAAAAGTTAAATATACCTTCAATCTTTTTTTTTTTTAATATATTTAATGTTAACAACCTTCTTGTTTTTCTTTTGTCTTTTTTTTATAAAGGTTTTAGCTAAATATACCTTCAATCTTTTTTCTTTCTTTTTTAATATATTTAATGTTAACAACCTTCTTGTTTTTCTTTTGTCTTTTTTTTATAAAGGTTTTAGCTAAATATACCTTCAATCTTTTTTCTTTCTTTTTTAATATATTTAATGTTAACAACTTATTTTTTTTATTTTATTTTATTATTATTTTTTTTAAGGTTCACAACAAAAGCTAAATATACATTCAATCTTATTTTATTTTATTTGGCTCAACAATAAAATCAAATACACATTAATTAACATTGTCACATTATTCTTGTCAAATTTTATACATATCTAGAATTTTTAAAATTTATTTAAAAAAATTAAGGACACTATCTAGTGCATGTTTCAATTTGCTTTTCTATGTTATTTTATTTTGTTATGTATTGTAATTTTCAGAATGGTTTGCTTGTTCTGAAATTTCAATTAACGAGTGTGAATCTATTTATTTTATGTTATCACACAATTTATACAACACACACACACACACACACACATATATATATATATATATATATATGAATGTATTTGAAAATAGGAAAATTGTAGAGAATCGAAACAAGCATGAGTCGTGATTGGTTAGAAAGGATGGGTACAAAGATTTATGTGCTGGAAAAACAAAAAGGGGATACAAAGTCTTACTAAATAATTTTTTTTAAATAAAAGAATTTTTCTTAGTTATGAATAGATTTAACTGAAATCGGCTTGTTTCCCAATGTTATGCTTCATTTATTTAGATAGAAAATATCTTTTAATGAAAAATATTTTTTATAAAAAAAATTAAAAATATATTTTTTTATATTTGGTGGTGGTGGTGATAGAACGAAGGTGAAAGTAGAGATTGTGACATAGTGGTAGGGTGATGGCGGCAGTGATGATGGTAGTGGCTATGGTGATGGTAGTGTGATAGTGAATGTGAGAATAGTGGTGATGGTGTTGTAAAATTAGTAAAAATTTAATTGAAAAAACATTTTTTTGTTTTTTAAAAGTAACAAATAACAAAATTCGTGAGGGACTAAAGGAAGAAGATGGAGAATGGATTGGCTGTGGTAAGACATAGATATCTTAAAATGAGTGGTTCAGATTTGTTAAAAGGTATAATTAGATTTTGGATAAATTAAAATGAATGGTTCAAATTTGCTAAGAGAAAGATGGTTTAATGTCTAAAATGTCCGTGGCTAAGAGATCAACAAACAATTCCTTGTTTATGCCCTGATGTAATTTAATATGAGTCTTATAACACTTTCTTCAAACAGGTTCTTTCACATTTTATTTCTTCAAACAGGCTCTTATAACATTGTAATCAGGTTCTTATAACATGTAGGGGAGAGAGTGAGAGCGAGAGAGAGAGAGATGGTTGTAATTTTTTTTTAATCTTCCACGTTCTTCCACATTTTTTTTTTCAATTACTAAAACTTATTTGATTGTCTCAAAATTATATATTTGATTATTATAAAAAAACTTTTTAATTAATTAATTAATGTGTATTTGATTTTGTTGTTGAACCAAATAAAATAAAATAAGATTGAATGTATATTTAGCTTTTGTTGTGAACCTTTAAAAAGAAAAAAAAAAGTAGTTATTAACATTAAATATAAAAAATAAAAAATAAATAAAAATGGGGATTAAAGTGGGTTGGAAAAAATACAAACCCATTAAGAAATGGGGAGGGTGGTACCCATGGGGAATGGGATATAGGGAATGGGAAAAATTTATTATAGAAGAATGGGGATGGAGAATTAATATTCACCTCATTAACTCTCATTGCCATCCCTAATAAAAAGGCATGAGAAAATTTATTTTTACATATTTTTTTCACTCTTACACTCCAAAACTTCTAATTCTAGTTGAAGTTGTAGCCTCAGCACAATGTACTGTTTCTTGCAAATATGGACATCATGTTTGGCCAAACGATGTCCAGAAAAATTCTATATTTTTTAAAAACATTAATTTTGTTACAAGCACAAAAAACGAAACGCTGAAATAAATATAGAATGTAAATGAATGAATACGCTTTTTATTATATTTATTAAGTGATATATGTTTCTGTCTTCCGAAACTTATTCTATCAAATTTCACTAAAATCTCATGTCCCCTAGTTTTATGGCTGGCAACGCACGCATGCACTTGCTCAAGATCCAAATGGTACACTAGCCTATGCATGCATGTATATACAGCAACTTCAAGGGCTCCTCAGTTTAGTTTTCCTGTTGTCGAGTTGAATTTGGGAGCAAAACAAATGCAAATATCCCACTTATTGCAGCTGAAATGGCACCCATGACAAAGCCAGGCAAGTTACCACCTCCGAATGCAGCATCCAACGGCCCAATAATCAAAGCTACGATCATCTGTTGCAACAATATTACATAACCAAAATGATGTTAAAAAAAATAAATAAATAATTATTATTTGAGTACTCATTCAAAGTACTCATGCATGCACACACATAGAATTTGTAGCAGAATATCACCTGTGGAATACAAATCGAAATATTCAAAAGTCCCAAAGAAAGTCCTATGAAATTCAAAGATTAAGATTGTTAGTTGCATATTGTGTTAGGTGGATAAAAGGCTTAAATATTGCCCAATATTAGTTCAAAGTGGGTATAAAACTTACCTTGACCGGCTCCAGATGCGTTGGAAAATATTGAAGCTAGAGCAAATGGGATGCTAAAAGTAACCTGCACATAAGTGAGAAACACTATATTTGATTCTTATAAAAAGGAAAAAAAAAATGACATGCACTTCCAAGTTTTATTACGTAATTTTTATTCAAAATTATACGATAGATAAATTTGAAGTCGATCCCAATGCATGACGGATATTTTGGTTTGAAACAAAAGAATAAAAAAGTCATTATTAACAAAAAATTTATAGAAGCTTAAATGGATATGTTTAAATGTTCAATTTATAAGTCTAAATGGTTTTGCTAAAATTTTAAAAACTCATATTGTTTGCATCATTTATTGAAATAATAAGTTTAGGAATATAGAAACAAAACACAATACAAGAGACACATATATATTGATTGACATAATTTTTGAGATTTGACCCCCAATAAATTTTGTAATATCCTGTCCATCCATTTATTCCATCTGTCAGAATTTTTTGAATTCTGAAAATAAAATCTAGATATGCATGATGCATGGTATAAAGCACTTGAGAAGAAACTAACTGCTTGTGGGATACCCAACACTGCAAAAATAGCTAATGCCAAGTTTTTGACATCAGAAGGAGGGGGCTTAGGGATGCTACCCCTAGCATTCTTAGCCATCTTAGTGACTACCAGTGTTAACAACAGGCAAGTTGCTAGTAGAAAGTTTCCAAGACCCCATACTCGTTTTACATCACCAAGGCAACGCGCCATAGGCTCGATGACCAGTGACATGAATCCTAGAGTCACTGCATACAACATTAGTCCTAATGATCCTATACTCACGCCTTTATCATACAACTTTGCTTCGATGGCTGTTCCATCAGCTTTTCCTCCATATATTTCTCTCCCCATCCAATCAGTATCATACAAGGTGAATGGAAACCAGCCAATCCAGTTCAAGCTTGTTACTGCGAGTAGAAGAAACATTGGTTTTGATATGTTTTTCAATGCTGACCCAAGCTGACTGAAAAATAATTTTGATTCCTCTCCTAATTCCTTTCCATTCTTGTTTGCCTCTATTGACGAGAGTGGTGTCTCTTTCACTAAGGAGCAAACCAATGTGGTTAGGATTGTTAATAAGAGAATGGAGAAAATGAAACAAGTCTTAAGGTTGGCACAATAAGGTTCGCAGGCTTTAGTTTTCGTGAATGGAAAAATGTGATATAGTCGAGGATATGATCCGGCTGCATAACCCAAGACATTCCCAACAGCCATGAAAAATGAAAAGAATGCATTTGCAGCGCTCATTTTGGAATGGTTATTCCCTGAGAGATCCGCTAAAAAAGCTCGACATGGACCTTGTAATGTATTGTTTGCAACATCTAATATCCAAAACCCTATCACGAATATAACAACTGCTCTAGGTTTGGTTCTTTCTATTAGAGAGTCACCTAATATGTTGCCCATGTCAGCCGCAAAGCCAATGAGAATGACGGCAAAGGCGACGAGGACAGCACCTGAGACTATGTATGGACGGCGGCGACCGTACTTGGAGGTGCAATGATCGCTGTAGTAACCGACTATAGGTTGGATAATCAAGCCAGATAGGGGGCCGCAAAGCCAGATGAAGCTAGACCATTGATGGGGGACACCTAAAACCTGTACATATGGTGTTAAAAGGGAAAGTTGTAAAGCCCAACCAAATTGCACTCCGGCAGCAATGGAGGAAACAAGAATTAATTTACTAATGGGACTTGATGGTGCATCTGGATCATGTTCAGAAGTTGTGCTGAATACAGCTCCATGTTCCATACTTACATAGATTATCTACTATCCCTTAATCTCTTATTACTTGTGGTCCGAAGCCTTGTGAATCTTTATTATCTTATTTCAAAAATAATATAGATTGTAGAAGTTGGGAGATGAGATGAAACCATTAGAGGACAACATTCAACATATATATAATGTACGTGGTGGGAAAAGCGAGAGAGAGAGAGAGAGAGAGGATGTGCGAGAGAGATGGACTACCATTCCCTTGGGAGAATTGATTGGTTGGTGCCACATCGCTTAGTTGTGTGTTGTCTAGTCCTTGGACGGCGCTCGATTCTTGCGCATGTTGGGGGATTAGAAACATTATCCAAACAATAGAAACAATAAGAATGTTTTTGGTGGTAGAAAGAGAGAGAGATTGGTGGAAAACCACAATGAGCGTAGGAAGACCACATACACGTGTGTGTAAAAATTGATATGTTACTCTCTTTATATATGATCCTTCCCATAACGACAATAGATAAGAACACAATAATTATAATGGCACCACTTCTACCATTTTTGGGTTTTCTTTAGAAATAGTATTTTCTAAGCTTTTCCTAGTTGGGAATTGTCACACCCCGATTTTTTTTGAAAAGATAGTTAGGTTGAAACTAATTAATCTAAGTATGATTTATTGACAAAAACAAAATCTACTTATATCACTTAATTATTTTCAAAATCTATTTACTTAGCCATTTTGCGTAGTTTGTCGAATTCCTAGTTGTCTAAAGGGGATTATTTTATTAAGCTCTCAAATGTGGTTCCATTTTTCTTTATTCACATTGTTTTGTGTCAAAATTTCAAACAAGGTGATTTTTTTATTTTAAAAATATAGTTTGCATTGGATAACATGCCTAATTTTATTTATGTTTAAATATAATTCCTTCATTTAGGAAAATGACTTCTTTCATCTCATTTAAAGATATGAAATTCTCTCTTGCGTGACACACCTTCACTAGTTGTACAATGGCCATAAGTAGATGGCATGGATGATGAAGTATAGAAATAAATACATAAATGAAGTACAACTTAAATAAATACATATTCTGTTTGTTTTTTTTTTTTTTTTTTTTTTTGGTTTTTGGTTGCTCTTGATTGGCTCCTCACCAATCGTGAGTTAAGTGCTCGCAGATGATTGTACCTCCCTTGCGATGCTAACCTAGTTGGGGTTGTGGAGAGTGGCTATGATATTTGATGCACTGCCCTGATTTGTTGATGTAAATTTGTATGTACTTTGCTTTTATCATCAATAAATCTCTCTTTTTGCTGATTAAAAAAAAAACAAACAAACTTACTTAAAGCTAATTAAACAAAATACAATCTTAAGAAAGGTGGAAGCCCAAATTAATCCAAAGTCTACTAATTAGGATAAACAAAATAGTAAATAATGGCAACATCACGCAAATCAACGGTGATATCGGTCATCCCTACCTAAAATGGTAGGGTTGAGCAACAAACTATAACCCACCAAATTATGAACAACTAAATGTATATAAGAATATTTGATTTATTAGGTAGTCTTGCTAGTAATTTTAATACTTATATTTATTAAAATTGAGCTAGTGACCATTGATTCAGTCTTTTTTCAAGTGCACTCAATGGTTTAGTTTTCAAATCATTGGTTTGTACACAGAGATAACGTATTTTGTAAATAGGATGAATGAAAATCTTATTAATGTCATAATGAGACTAAAGTTTGAAAAAGTCAACAAGATGAATCATAATTGTTGAGGATACTAACTCTGCAGCACTACCTACTCAGCTCAGCTCAGACCCTGAACCTACTCAGTTCAGTCGTCTATCTCTCCCTCAGTTCAATCAGTTCAAGTAGAGTTCTATCAGTTCAAGTTTACCATGCAGCTCTACTGTTTTACTAACTACACTAATGGTGGTTAAAGAGTCTGTTAGAAGATCTGTTACTAGCTGTTAACAATGGGTAAATCAGTTAGATTATTTAGTTAAGTTATTAGATACATATCAATTGTATATGATAAGTTGTATAAATGAGTGATCTTGCATCACTGATATTTCAAGAAATGAGATACTGATATTTTTTACAATAATCAATGCTTTTGGTTTTTTGAAACCGAAACCAAGCCATCTCTTAAATACATCCGATCAAACCATTTGGTTTGGACAAGATGGGATCAATTTATGAATTGACCATTTTTTTTTAACAAATCATTGGTAAATATGGTATGCTATCCACCCTCATTTGCTAGTCTTTCTAGTTGAGTCCTACTATTCCTATGTTAATATATCCTCTTAAAAATGCTAGAGGTTCCAAAAATTTATCAAAAATTTGACCAAATATCTCAAATGAGTATCGGTCCCTCACTCATATGGAATCCTGCGGGACCATATCCACATGAGACATTTAGTCAAATATTTGATAGAATTTTTGGTATATCTAACATAACTCTTATCCTTTTCCTCATCGATTGTTTTGTCAATGTTTTGTTCAACAATACCAATAGAATTTATGATAGTCCAACAATGCATTATGAAAGCTTTAGTTTGCTTAAACTCACAATAGTACAATGTTGAAAGAGCTAGGTTGTTTGTGAAGTGTAAAATATCAAATGTTTAGTGTGTAAAAATATATGGAGATGTATGACCATAGGAATCATATAAAGCTCCTTTGATATCAACTTATCAAGTTGTAAGTTCAGTCTCACAAAAATATCAAAATTAAATAATTAATTGAATAAAAAATAATTATTTATGCAAATTAATATTGGCAATTGTCACATCAATTTACATGATAAGAGTATCGGAAAATTTATTAACAATATTTTTTTTCTTTAAAAATGAATAAACACTATATATGAATGAACAAAATTTTATAATATTTATTAGTTGGGCCACATATGAAAAATCTCATCCATCCATATACATTCTATTCTATGCCTTTTTCAGTGATAAGGTTTTATGTACCTAAATTTATTCTATGCAAGAAGCTTTAAGAGCTCATTACTTATTTTGTAGACGAGTTGAATTTGGGAGAATAGTAAATACACATATCCCACTTGTTGTTGAAATGACTCCCATGACAAACCCAAGCACGTTACCTCCTCCGAATGTGGCATCCAGTGGTCCATTAATCAAAGCTACGATCATCTGTTTCAACAATTTTTTTTTTTTTTTTTTTTTTTTGAGCAGCAAAGAAGACTAAAATTTTATTAAAACAAAAAAAAAATTTAAAATTACACAATGCTTGGAAAGGAGTTGCATTATTGTCAAAATTGAGTATCCCTACTAGGTTGACACTCAAAACAAGACTAATCATGTGCATTTCCAAAGCCCCAGAGACAGTTAAAAAGATTCCAACTCAAGACCTCAAAACACCGAAAACATTACAACATTACAATCTCCCTCCCATACAAAATCTAATTAGCACCAAATTATACATAAAATCAGTGACGGAGAAATGGAGATCCTTGGAGGTGGATTTCAGCTAGATTGCAAGCCTAACAATGATAGCTTCCTGTAACTCCTCCATCTTTGGTTGGATATCTTCAAAGAGGCATTCATTCATATGCTTCCAGATGGACCAAAGAGCCACCAAAGGAATGGCATTCCAAATTCTCCTCTTAGCTTTCATGAGACTGTACCCTGCCCACCACTGCAAGAGCCCTTCAACTATTCCAGGCACCACCCATTGAACTCCGCATCATTGCAGAAGACATGCCTACACTCTCCAAACCATAGGATATAAGATAAGCACATGCTCTGTTGATTCTTGGGCATCTTTGTAGAACTAACATACAGTAGCAGCACTATCATCCAGCACTCCAATTCTTTGCAAGAATACTAAGGTTTTTACCTTGTGTTTCCATGCAAGCAACCTATAAAATTGAACTTTAGGGGGAAGGTACTTGATCCACACCAATCTACTAGAGCCCTTACATTCACCACACTCTAAATCATTGTGATTATAAAGAGTTGAGACAAAAGAATGCCCAGTTTTGGTTGCTAACGAAACTGCCTTGTCCTCATCATTCTGGTTCAAAACAGGGGCTGCTCGGATAGACTGATTAAGTGTGATAAGCTCTTCCTGTTCCCATTGGAATAAGGCCCTCCTAAAACTGAACACCTAGTTTTCAGAGTTACCTCTTTTAACAGCATATGCCCTGAGTGACACATCCTTATCATTAGACAACCTAAAAAGTCTAGGAAATAACTCTTTGGAACTAACACCTCCATTCTAGCAGTCATGCCAGAAGCTCACTCTACAGCCATTTCCCACTCTAATTTGGAGATTAGTGACATAAAATTGCGCCGGCCCTTTGATTTGCTGCTACCAAAATATCTCCCGAAATCTTGGAAAATCTGTTGCCTTCTTGTAGATTTGGTAGCCATTTCCCCCCATCAACTTTGTATTTGCTGCAAATAACCTTTTTCCACAGAGCTGATTCGTCAATGGCAAACCTCCACCACCACTTTATTAATAAGCAAACATTCATGTTTCTGATTCTTCTAACACACAGCTGCCCTTGCTTGATACTTTTTGTTACATTTTCCCATTTCACTAGATGAATTTTCCTTTTTAACTCAAAGCCACCCCATAAGAATAAGGCTTGTAATTTATCAATTTCTTTTGCTATTCTCTCTGGCATCTTGAACAGTGAGAGGTAATACACTGGCAGGCTAGATAACACTGCTTTAATCAGAGTTAACCTGCCTGCAAAGGAAATGAATCTCCTCTTCCAACCAGCAAGCCTAAGTTTAATCTTCTCAATGACTGGTTTCCAAATCAAGTTCCTACTTGGACTAGCACCCAATGGCAACCCAAAGTATTTCAATGGAACTTTCTGAGTTTTGCAATTTAACATGGTGGCAAACTCATTGAGCATAGATTCAGAGTTACCAAACCCACGGACCACACTTTTATGATAATTGATCTTAAGCCCTGATGCTACTTCAAAACACCTTAAGATCCTTTTTAAGTTTAGCACTTCTAACCATTCAGCATCACAAAACAATAATGAGTCATCTGCAAATTGTAGATGAGAGACTACCACATCATTGTCACCAAAAACTACTCCTTTCAATAGCCCCAACTCCCTAGCTCTCACATGTACTATATTTAAA